CAGTCGATATTTCTGCCGCTGGGCAGTGCTTTTAGACCTAAACCGTCCCATAGAGACAGTGAGAGAGAAGAGTATGTCCTGCTGATCTCAAGGACACCGCAAAGTCCCTGATTGATCCAGGAGAAGCTCTTATTTTCAATGGCAGAAATTCAGCCATTGAAGCTGCTGAAGTTGGGACAGCTCCGAAACAGAAGGAAAGAGAAAAGAGAAAATGTGTCGAATTGGTGAGGAAATTTTATTATTAGAAAAGAGACTACCCCCAAAAAAATCAAAGTTAAATTAAAATTGAAGACAGAAGAGAGTAAGCGGCGAAATTAAGCCACATTAAACTTAGTGTGTTATCTTTTTTTTAATTTTTTTTTAATGGGTGGAATTTTTGCAAATGTTTACTATTTTTTAAAATGAATGGATTAGTTTTTCTTCTACTTTTTATTCTTTTTTATACCTATGGATTAAAAATTTCTTTTTCTTTTTTTACAATGCTTGATTGGACTGTTTTTTTCTCCATTTAAGAACATTTTTCTTTAAGTTTGGAATATAAAGAAGATATAAAGAAGACTATAAAGAGGGTTGTAACAACATAGGGAAAAGAAGTAACACTGACACTTAGAGGCTGGAGGCTTGGAAACATTGTTTTTTCTTTTTTCTCTTTGATCATTTGATTTACATTTCAAGGCTTTTCAGCTCATTTACTGAGAGTGATAGTAGAAAAAGCAGAGATTTTTTACACAGGTGTTTTTCAGGTGTTCTATTAGCAGCTGGATTGGAGTGAAGACGAAGTCTTGACTTGAAAGATTATAATGAACTTGCTTGAAATCTAACAAAAAGCCTTGAACGCTATAGTGGCAGTGTTTACAAGTTGGAAGAATGGCGCAACATGAAAAAGAAATCTTAACATTGCAAATGATTATGTTTAAAATTCAAAAAATACTAGAAGTAACAGATAAAATTGAGAAGAGAATGGAGAATATAGAACAGAACAGCAAAATTTGATGGAAAAATTGAGGATGTTTATCAAATGAAGAAAGTGGAGGACAGAGTTCTAAAAATTGAAGAAAATAATGAGCAAAGAGATAAGAAAATTGTTGATACTGAAAGTAAATTGAACGTGGTTGGAAATTGCAAGAGTGGAATATGGAAAGGGGGGATAGATGGACTAGAACTCTACCCCAGATTTCAAAGTATAGAAGAAGAAAAAAGAGAAAAATTGATGGAAGTAAGGAGAGAAATCTTGACAGTGATAACTAAAGACAAGCTGATGGAAGGAGCAGATGGAGGGTTTCGAGTTTTTGTAAGATACGAAATGAGCAACAGGTTGCGAAGAGAAGTCCATACAAGACTTACCAAGAAAGTAATCAGAATACTAATGCTACAAATGGCAAGAGATATAAGACTGCATTATTACTGGAAAGATACAGGTTGATGTCATGAAAGCTTATAATAAAAATTAAGTTAAATTTAGTTAAATTTAGAGTATTATGTATAAAATGAAGTGATAATAGTTATAGTAAAATAAATGATTAATAATAATAATGCATATACATATATTAGTTTGATAATATGAAATTTTATATAAACTACCAATGGAGACTATGAGAGGAGGTTTAAAAGCTTTGTTATTAAATACAACCAATTCTTATTTAGAACATGTTATAAAAATGTAATGTCATTGGATGATTTTAGGAGGACCTAATGGAATGCCATTATATAGTTTTATTTTAAATTTAGAATATTTCATATAAAAGGATGTCAAAACAGTTATAGTCAAATGAAGGTTGAGGTACAATAATAGTACATACATATATTTGATTTGTAAGTGATGACTATGGAAGGGATGCACAGAAATCTTGTAACCAACTGACACACTTTCTATAATTTGTAATGGAAGATGGTTTTATGTTTTTTTTTTGTCTGTTTGTGTTTGTTTAAAAATTAAAAAAATTAAAAAGAATGGGAAGGATTTGGTTTAGGACAGTCTGTTCATCATATCTTGGCTCTTTCCTATGCCCCCCTCCTCCTATACCCCATAAGGCCAATCCAAATTGAATAGAATAAAACATAAATACATTGGGATCATGTAAAGAGCTCAGTCAAAAAAGTGCTTTTATTCATTTTTTTCTCCACTTCATTTTCTTCATTTATATATGCAATAAGTGCAAAATTCCAGATTCCTTGCTTCCATTCCGAAGATACTTGATTGCAAGTTCTGCAAATAGATTTTATTGCATTTCTTGCATCACTATTTTCAGATCTTTAGAGAGACAGTATCAGAAAGATAGCAGACAAACTGACAAATTACCAAAGGCACTGAAATAACTAACCCTCCCCACTATTTGTTCAATGTGCCTGTGACATGATGGGAAGGAAGGCACAATAGAATTCTCACATTTTGTAGTGATAGTTGGATGCTTTTGATGGAAGGAGTAAAATACTAGTTTAATACTATACAGTCAAAGATGATTTACTTCTATTGCACTAATAGGATAGGGATAAATTGATCATGGCAAGAAATAATATATCTCTAAGAAAGACCCAAAGTATCATCACAGTGATACCAGACATGGAGAATTAGTATTCTGCAGGATCCAATATGGGTCAGTCACCAGGACCAGAGGTTTTGTCTTCTAAGCTTTCAGACTCATGCTGGAGCCTATATTCAGGAAAAGAGTTTGAAGGCTCGAGAGACAAAACCTCTGATCCTAATGACCAGATCAGATTGGATCCTGCAACATTATCCTGGGACATGTATATTTGCCTTCATTCCAGAGGTAGTATTCAGTCGGTTTGCACCGGTTTGCCAGAACCAGTGGCAGAAATTTTGCTCAGTTCAGTGAACCGGTAGCCAGTTCCCCTGTCACTAGTTGTTCACCCCACCCATCCGGTCACTGCTCGCTTGTGCCACCTCTTTGCATACTGGCTCTCAAAGAGGACTGCGGCTGACCGGATACTGCTGAAAAGTCTTCCAGCTGGTGAAAAAGTGACTGTCATCACCGCCATCTTCTTGACATATGCACATCCCATTGCCTTGAAAGTTGCTTTGACTCTTTGAGATCCAGTATGCAAAAAGGTGGCAGCTGGGAGGCTTCTTTGCCATCCAGCCGCTTCCCAGCAACAGCAGCTGGCTGGTAGCCACCGAAAATTCCGATCAGCTTGCCTTCTGAACTGGACCAGCTGCCACGGAAGGTAAGCAATCAAAGAGGCAGTAGTGGGGGAGGAAGCAAGGAAACGGAGGCGACTAGCAAAGGGAGGGCGGGAGTAGATAGGGAAGAATCCTAAAAAATTTCCTACCTTTTCCTGTGGGCATGGCTAGGTGGGGGGCATGTGACTGAGTGGGCGTGAGCAATGTCAAGTTGTCCACACCCTGTCAGTCACATGCCCCATACCTAGCCATGCCACCAAACCGGTAGCAAGAATTTTTGAATTAATATTCTAAACATATTCTCTATTTCAATTTCAGGANACATATTCTCTATTTCAATTTCAGGAAGTATAACTAAAACAATATATTACCAAATACTTGAGACTTGGATTAGCTGCCTTCTATCATAAACAGTTATTTCAAACAATTCTTAAAGGGTTTATGGATATGAAACATGGCCAACTTGTAAGAAAGATAGCTACCTATCATCAAGTGTAATTCCATCTTATTTTCAGGAATGCTGCCTGGGAGTAGGAAAAAAATTAAGAGACTTTTAGCATCTGCAGTAATCATAAGGGTAGAAGAAAGGAGGAAGTAGGAAGGGGAAGGAGAAGGAGAAGGGAAAAGAAGGGAAGGGTGCATTTTGGGAGGAAGATAATTCACAAAGAGACAAAGTGAGGGAAAGTGATTTAGAGAGGAAATATGTGATTTCATGATTATGTCTGCTATGGGATTGGGTAAAAAAAATTCTGTGTTTGGCAGTTAGATACAAAGAAAAAGAGAAACACAAATTACAAGGATAAGTAACTCTTATATTCTGAAAGTGTAAAATGAAAATCTAAATTTGAAGGTTCTTTTGGTTTTGAAGGCCAGGTCACACCTTCCTTCAAATCTACCTGCCACAGATCTCATATTACCCTGTTTCCCAGAAAATAAGACCTCCCCGTATAATAAGCCCAATTGGGCTTTTGAGCGCATGTGCTAAAACAAGCCCTCCCCAAAAATAAGCCCTCCTCAAAAACAGTGCAACACAGCCGCCGCCATGAGGTAACCACCTTCTGCACCTCAAAAATAATAAGACCTCCCCTAAAATAAGGACAAGCACTTATTTCGGGGGTCAAAAGAAAGTAAGACCCTGTCTTATTTTTGGGGAAACATGGTAAATTTAAGCATAACAATTAGAACTATAGGCTCAAAAGCAGATTTCTCAGCTAGAAGTATAGTGATTTCTAATTCAATATCTCAAGATAGTTACGGATCCCTTGTTGACTTCTTTTCATTTATGTTAATAATGCTTTGGTCCCATTAATGGCATAATAACTTCTCTTCTATTACAGAAGTCTGCAGTGATGAAAGACAGATAATAACTTATTTTTAATGGGTTTTACAGATCCTACAATATAGAAGCAAGTAATAGAATACATTCATTGATCCTTAGCTTTTAAGAGCTCATGGTTATAATTTCTAGCAAAAGAACAGCTATGAGCACAAGCAAAGCAAGCAACTGCTTAAAGTCTCCCCCACCCCTCAAAATTGTTTTGTTCCTTCTTGAATAATCCTGTTAGCTGGGTATTTCTTTCTCTGTTGTATGAACAACTCCAGGCCTATCTACATTTCTCTCAATAGCTGGAGCCATGCAGGTTTCAAGAGTAAAAATGGATTTTAGAAAGGGCAGAAGCTGGCAGACTAAATACTTAGTAATAACTGCTGTTTTGGTTAATGCAGCTGCCACCTATTCTCCACAAATGTGAAGTGAGGCATGCAGGTTAGTAAGACAGCGCTGTCTGGTTATTTTATTCGCAAATAGAAGATGCGGCTATAGTTAATACTCCTCAAAGAGATATAGAACAAAAATATTTACCATTAGAAAACGTCGGGGGGGTAACGTGCTGTTGAAGGTGCCTCTCCCCTGTTTAACATTATAAAAAAGTGGTTTAGAAACAGTGTCCAGCAAGGAGTTTGGCTTCTTAAAAATGTAAATATTCCCAAAAAACAGTTGAATCATAGATTTTCAATGAAATCCCTCCCTGGTTCCCCAGCTTCACCTACGGTTCTAGCTAAAACCAAGTCATTTGGCCAATGGATTGATTTCCTAATGGTTTCCTTCCTTTTCACCAACAATATATTTCTTCTCTCTGATCACTAGTGTAACTCTCACGTTATTAAAAAAACATCTAGTAGGTTTTTATAGAGCATAAGTGCAGAGAAGAAAAAGATGTAGACAAGAGACAGAAATTAGTATTCATACTGTTAGTATTTAAATGTCTTTTCTAGCTAAATATAAATGCAGCTTTGAAAAAGCTCTTTTTTATCAGAAGATAGATCTATATCTGTGCATAGAAAGCAGCATGCATGTAAAGCAAATTTGACTGTCCACAATAGTAAAGTGAGCAAATTATTATGAAGCTTCTAGTAACAAACCAAATTCAGTTTGTGAATTAAGCAGCAATCCAAAGACACAGGACATGGTAGTCCTAAAAAATAGAATTCTAACATATTCATCAGCTGAAAAAAGCTCCTGCTGCAGTTTAAAATGGGTTTTCTACCCAAAGACTCAAAAATAAAAAAGAACAATAGAAAAAGAATGATAAGAAAAGGGAAGAAAGTAAATTCACATAGCACTTAGTAACAATGCTTTATTTATTTAGAAGCAAGCTAAATTAATTGATTTATCTAATCTAATCAAACATAAATACAGGTAGTCCTCTTTTACCAAACATAATTAATCATTAAGCTAAGCAGTCCCACAGTAAAACCACAGTTGTGCTTATGATCTTCAGCTTTCCATTGTTTTACAGATCTGCAAAGGCGTATAGTTGCTAAAGGAAGGCTAATATAAACTTTCAGCTACACTATATTTTAAAGTATTTACAAACCTATTCCTATGCATTTTACTTCAAAATAAATTGCACCAAATTCTAAATGAATAATTACACTCTAATTCTAACCTAATTCTAATAAGTCTACATAGTATACAATATATAGAACGGTAGCCTTAATGAATTTAAAACAGCCCATCTAACCTTTATAATAGAGTTTCTAAGGACAGGAATTCAAATCACCATTACTTTAGATCAGGGGTGTCAAACTTGTGGCTAGCAGGCTGGATGCGTCATGTGCTGATCCTCGCCCAGTTTAGCGAAGGAGGGGAAAGTCCCAATATGTCACCTGACGCCACTGTGATGCGAGTTTGACACCCCTGCTTTAGATCAACACACACACACACACACACACACACACACACACACACACACACCTAAAGAGTTGGACCTACATGCATCTATTCATCTAAGAGTCCTGAAAGGTATCTGTTTCTAGTAGATAATTTATATATTTTCTCTCAGAATTGTATATACCAGATAAGTGATCTGATTCCTAGGGACTGTTTATTAGTAAGGTAGTGTATGATCTATAATACAATGATGAATAGGTGATGCATTGTATAATACAATGATGATCAATATAGTAAAAACCAAAGCAATATGTCCAGCAGCTCTGCTATGCTTACACAGTTCAACCAAATATTCCCAATCCTGGTTTCAGGAATTGTTGGAACTAAAGGCCAAATATGTCTTGAATTTGTTCAGTAGCAGTGAAGGGAAGGGCTCACTCTTCTTATGAGTGTTCTGAATATTTGCCTAAGAAATGAACCTGTGCAGATCAAATTGTTTTATTTGTTTTTTCCTGTTTTAAATTAATGAAGCAGCGAGGTTTGCAGCAGCAATAAGAGACCACTGCATGAAATTATCTGACATTTCTGGAGCATCTCAGGGATGACCTACATTAATGCCTTACACTTGCAAAGTTCACAGAGAAATACCTAATTGGACAAGCCTAACCCGCAGCTCAACAAGCTGGCAGCAGAAGAGAGCATGCAAATGGGCAGTGCAAACCAAGCATCTGGAACAAATTATTCCAAAGGGAGTAAGAGAGTCATAGCGTCTGAGTGCAAGCTTGTTAGATCTAATGAGAACCAAATCCCAGAGTCAAGTAACATTATGGAGAAAAGACAGATGTTCCCTGAAAATGGAAAAATGGACACTGATATTCTACCCTCTATTGCTCCATAAAATCTAATGTGCTTAGTAAATAGAACTTTTGGGGGGAGGCCTCATCATCATACTGCTAATGATCTACTTTCTTAGCTCCCAAGAAATATAGGCCATTGTTAGAGGATTTTCTTTTGCAGTAGTGAAGAGACTGTTTCTATGTGTTAGTTTTCCCAGAAAACAATCCCTTTTCCAGTTTCTGGATGTACATCAAATGTAAACATCACCTGCTCTTTTGTATGTACATCTTTCACAGCATTCTGGCTCCAGAATAATCACCAATCTAATTTAGAAATTATGTCAATATGCTAAATTCTCACTAGAAAGAACTTGTTGCATCCATAATTATCAGGAATTTTAGATCCCTTTGATGAAATTGTCTGCAAATTTGAACATATAGCTATTTTTCTGGGCATTGCCAGTTAATAATTTTGTTTATAAAATTATTGCATATGAATTTATAAATTGACTCAATTCTTATTGGTGGGTTGCATATGACTCAAAATCTAAAAGATATCTTAAGTGGGGGAACTTAATTTTTGACTAAAAATGAAAACAACAAACTTTGAAAAATCATATAATAAAAGATCCTGCAAATCTGATCAGCAGGTATCAATTACACTAATGCTGTTTTGAAATGTAGAAAACATTTGTTCACCACCTGAATAAAAGTAACTTTATAAAGAAATACAAAATAGAGGTATCTCTTAAGCGTATTTCTTAAGAATTTACATACATACACCACACACACACACACACACACACACACACAAGATGCTTAGCATCTGGAGCAACAGCCATTTCTTTATCAATCTGATCTCAGAATTGCATGAAACATTATTTTGATCATCTTTATGGATCAACTATATTGAGAACAGATATGTGTTATTCAATTATGCAGGTTATCTCAGAAGTATTTGATGCCATAATCATAGTATGGCTAGGTTGTTTCAGGCATTATATTATGGTAATGTTGGTCCTTCTTGAAAAAGATTTGCATTAAGTGGTAAGAAGCAAGTGGTGATTGGCCAAAAGTTATTTACCAAGAATATAATTTTTGGTTTGTGTGTGATGAGCCAGTTTGGTATAATTTGGTGTTTAAAGATGCAAGGCTAAAAACCGGGAGATTACTGGTTTTAGTACTTCCCTAGGTACAAAATCTGTTGGGTGTCTTTGGACAAGATGCTTCCCCTCAGCCATAGAAAGAAGGAACTGGTAATAGTAAACCACTTCCAAATATGCTGCAAAATTGCATGGACTTATGCAGGCAATCTTCAGGAGTTGAGGCTGACTTTGGCATGCAGGCATGCATGAGAGCATAAATCATTAGCTAGCTGTAGCTTGTAAGAAACCTTCCCTGAAGTTGCCTACAAGACAAAGGTTTATTGAAGACATCCAACAAACTAACTCATTATCAAAATCCCCCCTCCAAAAAATGTTCAAGGTTTAAAGCATCTGAATTGGCAATGGAGTAGAATAGGGCAAACAAAGTCAAAATTCATAGAGGCAGGAGCTTCTTCTGATCAGTTAAAATACAGAAAAAAGATTCAATTTGTTTTAGATGTAATTATACATGTTTTTAAACCTGTTTCACAAATCCCAGGTTTCGATAATGACTAAAAATATACCTGCACAGTACAGATGAGTGTGTGCTTACTTTTGGATACATCAAAAATGGTTTTTATATTTGAAAAGGGTGATTTTTTGATACTGTCAATAACTGTCCTTCCATCTCCCACACCATCCAATACAACTGATGAAGCTTGCCGGATATTCTTCCTCAAAAAATCAGCCCAGTGCCTTTTCAAAAATAAAAACCGCTTTTGATACAACTATGACCTGGATGCTTGAGAATCTTCATAAACACTTACTTTTGGATAAGTCAAATCTCCTCATGGGACACATGTCTTAAAATTACATCCTTTTGGGACTGCTATAGTGTGTTCTATATATAGCTACCTTTCAAAAATGTCCAAAAACGTCATCTGGTCCAAGTTATTACAGCCAGACTATTAATTAGCACTAATTATAGAAAACATGTGACTTTTTTTTAAACAATAGTTTCATTATTAGATCCACTTTGATACCCAACTCACTCTGTAATAGCCTATTAAGCCCTACATAATTATGTTTGAAAGACTGTTGGCTTTTAAGATCTTTGGGAGACGTTTCCTCATTGAGATTGTAAGAAAAGGCCTTCCCACCAGTTGCTCCAGATGCTGCTACCACAAAAGTGAGACAAGGCCACTCTTCTTCCTCTTCTTTCTTTTTCTTTCTTTCTTTCTTTTTTTTTCTTTTTATGCTTAACAGGTAAAGCTAATTTTATGCAGACCAACTCCTGGCTTTTTAAGCTGACTTGCTTGCTAAAGTACATTTTAACTGTTTTAATTGATTTATTTTATATTTTAGTTCCATTTTAATCTACATCTTATTATTGTTAACAATCCCAAATGTTATTTCTGACAAGGTATGATTTAAATTCATTAAATAAAGGAAGTATTAGTACCATCACTATGTGAAACACTTACAAGTTTGTGTTTTCCATTCTGCTGTACACTATGTGAAGCTTGCTGTCTACAAAATGAATGTGTAGCACTTCATTACCTAATAATTTTTAGAAAAGATAAATAGCTGATACTTAAAAGTTAGTAGTAAGCTCTTCTCTAGCCTTTGACCCTAAGGATAAGGCAACCTTCATTAGGACCGACTCTGCCTAAAAGGAGAAAGTTACTCGTTATTTACATTTTTAAAAGCAGCGTTTAAAAGTTGGGTGGAGGAATGAAAAATACCAGCCACAACCTAATGAAACTGCCATTCAAGGAAGCTGATTGCACTTCCTGCCTTGGTGAGATCTGAAGGG